GAAGGCTGTTTTCTGTTGGCACTGTCTGCTGTTGTCTGTCCCCCTTCAAAGTGGAAATGGCAAACACACAACATACCAACCCCTGCTCAACAAACAAACACACATTCACCATCAATGGAGAAAAAAATTAAATAAACAAAACAAATTACATGAAATTGTATAAAAACCATAAAAATATACATGTCCCCATGAGAATGTTGTTTGTGTAACAGTGTGGCTGATGACCGACAAATAAATGGCATCCTCCATGATTTCTCATTTTTGTGTATCATAAAATGGCTAGGTCATGTACAGCCCCGCCATAACGGACAGGACCCGTGGGGCCAGGAGGAGGAAGATGAGACACTTTCTTCTCTACTTGGGGATGATTAAACTGACCCTCTTGATTGAGGAGAGAGAGGTGGTGGGAGGGGGGGTTAGTCCAATGATGATCTCTTCCAAATTGGCCTTGGTGTTTAGATGTCATCAGTTTGGTGTGAGGTGACCAAGCAGATATAACAGGAGCACCATATTATTACAGATGAAGTGGATTTGAATTTTTAAATGATTTGTGCTAACAATCACTTTATAATAGAGTCTGCCTCTTACCAGAGAGAGAGAGAGAGAGAAAGAAAAGAAAGAAAACCTCATTTACACAGAACCACAAACATAGTGTATTTACTTCCATACAGATGTGTACACTCCAGCTATACCAAAATACAAGATGAGCAACACTCCAGCAGACTAACAAGGACGCCTAGTAATATTTATGTCAGCCAGCAAGAAAAAAAAAAAAAAAAAAAAACCAAAAACCACTATCTTTTTAAATTAAACCCTATTCAGCTTAAAATTAAAACAACTTCTATGACAAAAACTGGCAAACATATGCAGAAATAAATTGTCTCATTAGTTGAGATTTAAAGTTGTGTCAAATAAATAAAATGTAAAAGAATTTCTATAAGAAAAATAACTAAAGATTTCTCAGATGAACAGGGATTCATTACAATAACCTCCTGTAGGTGGCAGAATTATTTTTGCATAGCATTTACTGATTAAAGAAAAATGATTTTAAACCCAGTTAATAAAAAAAAAAAATTAATTGCATAATTTTCCTTAACTGGGCTAATATCAAATTTTCATGAATGAGTTTTTGCTTAACTAGCTGTCATGATGATTATAGTAGTTTTCCTTCTAACAATAGAAACCATATCTAATTCTAAGTATTCCAATATCATTCCAAAACTTAATTCAGAAGAATGGAGGCATATCTATAGGCATATTTTAAGTAAAATTTTTTCTCAGTTCCAGGATTAATAATTTTAGCTTTTAAATATTCTGTATTTGTGGCTCATTTTTAAATCTGTATTGTTATTGTTTCTTGATTATAAAGAGAAAGTATAGTGTGATGTTTCATATATATATATATATGAAACATCAACAAAATGATTTTATGCATAGCCAAATCAGTATTTGTGAGAATAACATCAGAAAATACAATTGTTATCAAGATTAATACTTGCATACAATTTTTGATTAAAATAGAATGTTTTTTTTTTATTTGGAAGGACACCAGCAATTGTGATAAATTAAGAAAAAATCTACAATTTGCAGGCTAAGGCATCAAAACGATTTCAGTAGAAGACAAATGTTATCATTATATATTTTTATACTTGGAAACATGCCAGTCAAAACAAAAGTGTTGGAAGTAATCTAAACAATAACTATCCTCAGATTTACAGACATCAATAATGAAAAACCACAAATGACACATGGTAAAAACAGAAATATATGAATTTTGTAAGTCACCTATCGAATGAAATTATCTAAAGAAAGATATAATTTAATAGTAATTTAACTTACAAGACAGAAAAATTAACCATTTGTGTTCAGTTAAATCTATAAAACAATACAGATTATTCTAAAATCAGTTTATCATCTATAATTTCAATCAATAATTTTATCCCCACTTAAAAAATATTTTGAAGGGATTTAAAAATTATAAATTTTATGGAGGAAATTTTGTATGACTTTATCATTGCGAACTTTTGACAACTCAAAAAATTTCTATAAAAACCTAGTGTGAAATCAGTTTCCATTAAAAGATTAAAATATTCTGCAAATAAAAACTATAATATACAAAGGAGTGCTGAAAAGTTAGTGGCCTGAAAACTTTTCAGCACTGCCTTGAGTGTGTATGTGTATTTATGTGTGTAGACATAAGATATTGCACATTTAGATAAACTTATATTCACTTAATATGACTAAAAAAGTACAAAGAAATTGAATCATTTAGTGCTACAAAGAATATATACTCTTCAATATTCCATATGAAAAAAGAAAAAAAAAAGAAAGATTTCTTATTAAATTTTGCAACAAAAATGACCTGTTTATGAAGAAAATTATTCATTAGAGACTTATTAATGAATCTATTTTCCTAATGAAAAAGTTCAATTTATATGTAAAGAAAAATAAAATCACAAAATTACACTTCATGAAAAGCCAAAAGTTTAATATAGTAATAAGTGCAAAATTATCAATTTCAATACTTTTGTCAGAATGTGATGAATTGTTTCTTTATGGTCAATATGCCATGAGTGTTCACTATAACAGTGTTGCACACAATATGGATAAAATGGAAAGGAAAAAAATTCAAAAATTATTCTGGTATTTAAAAAATAAAAAAATCAATTTTTTCAAAGGAAAAAAAATGTCCCCCAAAACTTGAGGGAATTTAAAAAAAAAAAAAAAAAAAAGAAAAGAAAAAAAAAAGAAAAAGAAAAAAGTGACAAATAACAAATGTTTTCCATTCCAGTTAGGAAATTAAAAGGTTTTAAACACAAATAAAACAGGTATTTAGTTTATTCCAGATCAATTTGAACATAAAATATGAATATTAAATGTGTAATGTATAAAGAGACTGAACGCCAACATTAAAAACTCATTTATGGCTGAGTGTACTTCCATTGCTCTAAAAATCAGAGCAGCTTTGCATGGCTTTTCAATTCTAAAAGAAAAAGAGAAATGAAAGGGTCTAGGTTTTTGAATTGTTATTTTGTCTTTACACCCAAATTTACTGTAGCTAAAAGATAAGTGCTACATTAATAACTGTAGAAACCTAATCTTCATAAACATGACATTCAGGCAGCTACTGGCTTCAAGACTTTTTTTGGTGAAAATATTAGTTCAAAAATAAAATAAACACAGATCAAAGATTCCAGAGAAACCGAAAAATATTGACCCCAAACTGAATGTAAAATGGCTGACAGTCAATATCAGTAAAAGTAGATAACCCAGTCTAAAAGGTAAAGGCATTAATGACATTAGTTGGCTAAATTCTAATAATACTAATGATAACAAAGAAAAAAATGCAATATAAGAAGGGGGAATTTGAATAAAATTTGTTCCTTCTGTCATAAAATGATTATAACAAAATGCAAACTGAATGTATTAAAAGTCAGGCTTGACTTCAATGGATTTGAATATTTAGTTTTTTTTTTAAAGATTTTTTTTGTTTTTAAACTTCCAGGGAATTATAGTTAAGATGTAAGTAAAAGCAAAACCAAACCTTTCTTAAAAATAACTCTCCTAACAGTAAAAAAAAAGTTAGGATATGCAGCCAGGATGTTCTTAGCAGAGGTCAACAGATTCCTCATCCAAATTATGTATACCACAAGCAACAGTTAAATGCAACTTTTAGATAGAACAATATATTGATGTAATTATGTCATCTCTGCTTAGTACCTGGCAGTGAGAACATGCTGGCTAGACATAAACAATACAAGAAGTCATTAGAAAAAAAAAAAAAAGTCATTTAATAATAAAAGATTAAAAAAAAAAAAAAACGTAAGAAAAAGATACAGGCACATACACCCAACCTCTATCCATGTGACGTACATCCATGATATGATTTTAACAAGTCACCTGAGATTTGATGATCGCTGACATCACAAGCAGACACACCTGAGATGTCACAACTGGGAGAGAAAAAAAAAATCCATTCACACAACTGAGATATTTAACAAACATCATAGACACTCATTTGAGTTAGAAAAAAAATGATTCTATCACTCTAAGACACAGAGTAGCAGGTGAGTTCTAAAACCAACTGAATTTATCCCTCACACTTACCACTAACACTTCTTGAGAATTAACTTGCTAACAGTTAACCATAATAATTTCTACTCAGGACTGTGGACACATGCACACACAAAATTCTTTCATCCATCCACATACAGCTGCGTGTACACATTTATTTATGTGGTTAGTATTGTTGAAATCTGGACAAGATTTTAGGCTTGATATTTATATATTTTTGTTTATAAAGAACTGAACAACATAAAATAAAATAAAATAAAAAAATAATATTGAAAAAATAAAAAATTGAGAAGTGTTACAATGAAATTTGTGTAACAATGACATTTTTTATGATCGATTCTTTCTTACTATATATAAAAAAATACTAAATACACATTCACACACAGTCATATACTAAAGTGGAGAAAAAAGTAAATTCTTTGGTCAATCTTCATATCATACTGTAAAAATACTTTGAAATAATTTTGACCCTTTTTTTAATCTCAGAAAAGCAGCTGAACTTTATAGAAACACAGCATCTCCCAAAACTGAAGGCAGGAATGTTCTAACGCATGCAAAAAAAGAAAAAAAATCCAGTTTTTTCAGGACCCCCCCTACCATTTTTAAACTTAAGTTTAAAGTTGTTCAGTGACATTTGTTTCCCACGATTTTGAAAAGGGTATGAATATTACCAAAAATTAAGAATATAAAATCAAAAAGAGTTCCCACAATATGGTGTAATATGAAGATTGACCAGTTTTTGAGAAGTTAGAAAGGAACTGGGATGGGTGGGTTGAGAAAATGCTTTCATACCATGTAAAGAACAATTTTCTTTTTTCCGATGAGCATGAAGAACCCCTTTTGTTTTTGTTTTGTTTTGGTATTTTTTTTTTTTTTTAATGGCCATATAAAAGTCATTATTAAAAAAAAAAAAAAAAAAAAAGATTTCAGCTGGGGGAGTAAAATGGCCAAAGGCAGCTAGGAAGGCATTTTAGTTTGCCCATTGCATTGGAAATTGCTTGTGCTGGAGGGCATAAACAGCAATATGGGCCTTCCACTCCATCACGAGAAGGAAATGAATAATGGGGTGGGGAGTAGGGAGAGAAGGGCTGAATGTTGTTAGCTAACGGTCTGTCTGTGTGACCCCACGGGCTGTCTGTTTGTAGCACATACTGAGGCTGTACATTGCTATCATCATGCATGGCTGTTCTGTTTCTGTGATACATAGTCACTGTAGCTGACTGTGATCTTTTCACTGCGATATCGAGTCAGCCGCACATTCTTGTGCACCTCGCTGGTTATAATACCCTTATAACCACCTTTTCTCAACAATGAGTCTATCGTCTGTATTCTGTCCCAGGCTGCAAAGATAAAACAATGAGAATTGAATTAAATAATAGCAACAGGAAATTAAAAATGATTATTATATCATAAAACAGATTTTGTTTTAAAATCACATCATTAAGTATATGAAAATTAAATATAAAAATATAGCTTACACTTTAATGCTTACTGGACAAACATTAAGCAAAGGTTGTGTTTGGTTCACTGGTTGTTTTGTTATAATACATTCTAGCAAAAACTTCTACTTAAGGAAACTTTTTGAAATATTTCATCCTGTCATTTTTAAACTATCTTGTGATGAATGCAAGAATTCTTTGATCTACTGAACTTGTTATTTTCATTTTTTTTTAATTCATTTCACTCCAAGCAAGGCAATAAAATCCACTAGGATGCATGGGGTTACTTAGAGTGATAGAAACAGAGAGGACAATAAAAGAACAGGATTCAAGAAGACAGAAGATGATGATGACTAATGTTACACATATATCTTTGAAAAGCCTAGTTAACACAAAAGCAAGATGCTGAAAGAGTTCCACAGGCAGGAAGTGCATAAGAAACTATTAGCATAGTACTTACAATTACAAGTAACAATTTCAACAGTGAAAGTGTAAAACCTTGCTGCCAATCTAGTGATGCACATAAATTTGTGAAGTCAAAGTACCCACAATGAAAGCTCATCAGTACAATTACTATGAAAACATTTATAGAAAAGGCAGAGAAATTATGCCAATGCATTGTGACTGAAGCCAAGATGCCAATTCAGGACCGATAACATTGCAGGTTCTTCTTTGGATTTTGTCAAGAATCTCTAGATATATAGCAGAAGCAACAAATCAGAGGTGGCAGCAATATTCAGTACATGAACAAATGGTAATCTTATAAATGTGTAAATGCGAGACCAAGAAGATGCAATGAGTTTTGCTCCTGCAAATTAGTATCAGCTATGCTGATGGAAGGCAAAAAAGTTTCTTTAAGATTATTAATAGAGAGTAGTTTTGTTTTGGAGGCATTAAAGTTAACAAGCCATTTTTAAGTCCCGGTTAAGAACAAATTGAAGATCATTTTTTAAACCAGCTACCAATTTGATTTTATCAAACGTATCAGATTTACTATTAAGACAGTTGTGTCATTGGCATACATACTGGATCAGGAACTGATGACATTGGGAAGGTTTATGTTGCATTTGTTATTACTGATCTCTACTGTAGCCTTTCCTCATGTGGACAAACCATAAAGATCATATTGTGGAAAAAGAAACCCTGATCTTTATGGTGACAAAAACAAAAAATAAAGGCAAATATACCAACTGGTTTAGCTTATTTCCAATGATAATCAATCTGCTCAAAACTACTGATCTGCCTTATCATGATTTTCCATCTTCATTTTTAAGTACCAATGTTAAAAAGACTGGAATCTAAGTAAAATCATACAAAAGTATAATCATTGCTGCAGACTTGTCCATGTATATTACAGATGGATTAAAAGCTGATACTGCTTGAACCAAAACAAGCCTCAAATTGTTTGGATAATGAGTAATTATATTAATTTATGTATGAGAAATGCACACAAAGCATGCACAAGATAACAATATCCAAGCATATTTGGGTTAGTTTCAATTTAAATAACAGCAAACAGAATATATATATATATATATATATATATATATATATAATTAAAGATTTTGCATAACAGAAATGAATTTTTATTTTCAGTTTGCATAGAAATAATTTTAAATTTGCTATATTTACTTGTAAAATAGGACCACATGATTAAGCTATTGTTTTATTATACAATCTTTAATATATGTAAACTTATAGCAACAATTGGTACTGAGTGTAGCAAGCGTTCTTGAAAAGAAAAACAGGGGGGGGGGTGTCTAATGGGAACAAACCACCTGCAGAGTTCACTGAATACACAAGAATACAAAGAGGAAGACAATGATGCATTTTCTCACTGAATTTATTTAATCTATACAACGAGACTATCCTAAGAAAACTAGAAGACCTATCAGGATTTATTATTAATGGACATAAACATAAGATAACACTGTTGAGGACAGAATGGAAACTGAAAGAAACCTTAGATAAGGTAGTAAAGGATAACAAAAAGAAAATACTATTAACTGTAAGACAGATTGCATGGTTGTCAGCAAAAGAAGCAGTTCAAAATGTGAGCTACGAATTGGAGACATGAAAATCAAGGAGATACAGACAGAAAATTAACTCTGAGTTGTATAGTAAGAGATAATAAAAAAAAAAATGTGACACAGAAAACTGAAGGCATATAAGCAAAAGATTAAGATATAGGGAGATGTCATTAGAAAAAAGTGCTGATCTAGTCTAATCTCCTGTAAGATTGGACAATTTCCTTACAAATGAAGAAAAGAATTGTTTTTATTGACAAATGTTAAGAACGCCAAAATATATGAGCAATAAGGTAATTTTAAAGTATTTATACTTAGAAAGAGTTAGCTGAAATTTCTTGGGTATATAATGAGAAAAGAGGAGCTAGAAAAGTTAACACAGGATATATTGAAAGTAAGAGAAGCAGGAGTAACCTACCTAATGGGTTTGCTTGAATGGATGTCACAACAGGAAAAAAGATGGGTGGTAAGAGAGAAAAAATTACTTAGCACAGCAAAAGACAGGAAGTTGTGAAGAGCCAGGATTGCATGATACAAGAAAGAAGGAGGGGGAGGAAGGTGAGGTATGAACTAAAGACTTTAATGAACACTGCATGAGGTAAGCATTTTCAGCTCATTGACATTAATGACAAAAACAGTTTCAAGTGGGAATTGATTTTTAATACAATATTTAAATTTTGTTTTTAGAGTACATAAAGAGATTATTCAAGAAAGCCATTACCTTGCTCAACAGCCACCTCAGGTAGGTAGGTGGCAGTTTTCTTGTGCCCTTTTTCATTTACAAATTCAATACGTATTCCATGGACTCCAACCTAAAAGAAAAAATAAGACTCAAGATTTTAATTAATAATATCAAAAGAGAAGATCAGTTATCAGTTCTTGTTAAGATTGTTTAAAACTGGGTCCAGAATGATGTTATAAAACAAACTTATGATTAAATAAGGTGGAACATTTGCATTTTGAATCTCTTTCTAAATCAATTGTAATATTTTTTGAAAGGTGGAAAAAATATATTCTAAACTTATAGACAAACAAAAAAAACAAAAACAAAACAAAACACCTGAATGTATTCTTACTCAGAAATTAATCTCTGGAAATTAATAAGGATCAAATGATCTATCAAAATTGCTAATATTACAAACCAAACCAAACATCAACTTTTACATTGTTTTAAGCATTCATTTTGGGGATGATTAAGTTGCAATTGGTTTCTTAAATATATTTTTTTATAAGGATATTTCTTTTGGTGATAAAGCTGATGAATAAAATTATACATCAAAAATTCTAACTATCTGGGAAGTGAAGTATTATCACAGATGATTCAAAATGTGACACAGAAATCCAAAGACACATAAGAATAGTGAAAGATACCTTCCAGAAACAAAGTGCAATATTAAAAAAACAAGGAAGTTTTATTGGAAACAAAGATAATAATGTGCAACTTTTATGTAATATCAGTCCCCCTATATAGCAGTGAATGCTGGCCAATTTCTTCACAGACAAAGAGGAGAACTGAGGCAATGGAAATGTGGTTCTATAGAAGGATATTGAGAATATCATGTGAGCAATGAGGAAGTTTTAAGGAAAATGGGAATGAAAAGATTTACTTATCAGAAGGAGACAGATGAAATTTCTGGGGCACACTGAGGAAAGGGGGCTTGAAGAATCTGACACTCACAGAACATATTGAAAAAGAGGCAAAAATAAGCAGTGAGTAACATAGCTAACAAGCTTGTGTAAATTCATTCCAGAGTATGAATAGAGAGGGATAGTAAGAGGTCAAACATTACTTGGTGCTACAGGAGATAGGAATTTATTTAGATCCATGACTGTTCATGTCCTGAAGATATACAGCATATAAAAGAAGATTTACAATCATGATAAAAATAGACACACAAAAGAGACAAACTGCTCTGGCTGGAATAAATACAAACAATGAATTCTTTGAGAGACTTGAAACAAATAACAATTAAAAAAACTGCATTCTTACATTGATTTTTTTTTTTTTTTTTAAATTCTTAATGGATGACATCACTTGATTTATGTCATGTCAGCATGAGGTGAATGATTGAACTGAACTTATAAAATAGACACTATAAATGAAATGGCATAGCCTAAAGAATATGGTACCCGATTCTTTTAAGATAAACAAATGGGGAGCAATTTTTCTCTTGTGCTTTGGCATTTTATGGATATTATAAATATTTATAAATAATGTACTAAATATTGAAAAGAAAACATCAATAAGATATGAAAATTTTGTTTGGCACAAGGTTTATCAAAAGCACAGATAAGCTTATGAGCATACTGAACAGTGAAAATTAATAGAAACAATTGAAGGAATTTAAATGGCAAAAGAACAACAGAATTATTGGACAGTTTTTAGAATAGGTTATAGTTTAGGTTTATTTAAGATCTTTTGTTTTTAGTATGAAAATGCAGAGTTTCCAATTTAATTTGTAATTATTTGAGAAAAAAAAAATCAACTCCATTTCTGGGTATACTTTTTCTGGAGTAAATAAACATGAAAATAGGTGACTATACAACAGATTATTTTGCTTTTAATAAACAATCAAATTGAGAGAGATCAAAAATAATTATAGAAAAAAGTTTTTTCCTTTTGTTATTACTCTGAAAATGATAAGAGAAAAATAAATTCAAAAGAACAGATACATCAGGTATACCTAGTAAAATGTTTTCATTTCAATATACATCTGAGTGTGATTTTAAAGTATCATAATCCTTTGCGCATAGATTGCTAGGGAGTATAAGATGCAGTTAAAAAAGAAGAGAAATTCCAGGGAAAAAAAGGTTTATTTTTAAGTATAAAATGCACCTGATTTTAGAGCAAAGAAAATGAACAAAACTTGTGAAAATGGAAGAGACAAAAAGGAAAACATTTTGATTACTTCTGTGATTTGTAAGTACTGTCCTTGCCAGTACACATTATTTGTAAGTACTGTCCTGGCCAGTACACATTATTTGTAAGTACTGTCATGGCCAGTACACACTATTTGTAAGCATTGTCATGGCCAGTACACATTGAGAAAATAAACTGAAATAAAATTAAATAAATATTAACTTGTTTGTTTGGTTTTCATTTTTTTGTGACAATCTGAGGTATTTCTTTTGAAATTATTTGTGTAATCCTAAACAGCATTGTGAGGAATCCAAGTTTTTTTCCCATGCTTATGGGCATCTGAGACATGAGAGTGGAAGGCTGTTCTTGTTGAACCCTTCAAATTTGCCTTTGTTGTTGGGCCAGCAGAACTGATTGAATTCTTTTCGTGAGCTTGGGATACAGATCTATGTAGTGGGTATTGTTGGCATTATTATTAGTTTCTTGCAATATCTCTGTTGACCCTATTTCTGTATAAATTCCTCATATAGGATGTCACCTTCAATGCTGTCTAACTTGTTCAAGATGTAGCATTTCTTGAAGGGTTTGACAATGATAGTAGTGTCTAACTCTTCGCAGGTATCAACGATCCACTTGCAGATGTCTTCAAGCTCTGGTTTTCTATGGTTTTCCCCTTGTTGCAATACACCATTAGATAGATATTATCTCTCTGGTAAACAAATAAATCAAATTTGACCTGATTTTTCCTGTTTCAATTTTGGAAAAAATGGAATGAAGTTTTAACCTAAAGTATAAGACTAGACTTTTGGATGTAATTTAGGATGAAAAAACTTGTTTCTTATACACACATCAGGATTACAGTATCTTGTATGTGACAAATATATTGATGTGTTATCCAAAACTTCAGCTCTTTATATTAGTTGCAGGCAAAAAAAAAAAAATAGTTTTTATTTGAAACCCAACAAGTGATCTAATATAATGGTTACAATAACATCAGATATATTAGAGTAGGGATCTCTCAACCAGTAGGGAATTCCCATCTAAGAGGGAATTTCAGGGCTTCAAGGAGGTAATTAGGGCCACAGATTGGTAGATTCAAAATGTTAATTTTTGAACTCTCCAAGGCAGCACACTCTGTAATGTGCATTGGTCTGTGCAACTGAGAAGTCTTTCTTTTGCCAGCTCGTGTTTTTTGACATTACAAAAGTAATCCGTGTAAATGTATACATGTTAATAGGGGGAAAAGAATGAAGATTTTCAATATATGCATTTTATTTGGAATGCACCTTTTAAGTTGGACAATCTTGGAAAGGGAGGAATAACATCCTGACTTATGATGAAAAGTGCACATCAGGCAAAATAGGTTGAGAACCATTGTACTAGAGATTAAGTTACTAAATTGACTGTTAATTTTTTCAAGGTATGACAAGAACAATATTGTCATTAACCATGTCAGGTATAGGACTTATATCTCTACAGATGTTTATAAAACTATTGGCTTACTGATGGATTAGATATTTTCCTTTATACCAACAATAATCTTGTTTGAACTTTATTCTTTTTAATATTAAACTGAAACAGAAAGAGTCATACATTAATTAAATTTAATACAATATAACCTATTGTACCTGAAAAGCACAGAATAAACCAGATAAGCTATAGAATCACTTAATATTATAACTAGCACAGTCATTTTTTCTTTTGACATGGATTCCTGGATATAATGGACTAACTTTAATGATCATCTTAGAATCTATATATATAATGTTATGTGATGCTTTAGATGAGGAGGACTCAAATTTTAACTTACCTCCCAGTCCAAGTAATCTGCAGCCTCTTCAAAATGCGTGAGTATTGATACTGAACAGTGCAACTTGGAGAACTCATCTTTTGTAATTGGACTAAAACGGCTGTCCTTCATAGCACTGGAAAAAATTGAAATGGCAGTCTTCAAATAGAATGATATAAATTAATGTAGCTACACATGTCAGAAAAACAATGATATACTAGGCAGGGAAACTTGTAAAAGGGATTAACAGCACAATAATACAGTTATTTGATTACAGATTATGTCCATCTTTACAGATTACAAATAACAATAAACAAGAAATGTTTATAACTTTTTTCATTTGGAGTTCAATTTATATGTAAAGATGAGCTGTTGACATGACTTGTGATATCACAGGAGTCATTAAATAAATATATCAAAGCTTTCATTCAACCTGATGATTACATATAACATATTATAATAAAGGAAAAATGAAACAATCATGGTTGTATTTCAGCACCAATTGCATTAACCTATATCATCCTGATGTTAGTTTAAACTGACACCCCCCCATATATATATATATATATTGTGATAATTTTGCTTAAAATTTGTATTTACTTGATTTCAGATGAAAATTTGTTTCAGTGGAATTTTCACTTACATGTAAGGAAATTATGGTGTCAATTTAAACTGATGCCAAAAGGATATATATTAGTATACATAGGTAAGGTTTCAGGTTGTTTTGTACTTTCATCACTGACTTTCTCTCACTACTTCAACACCACAATCCCTGTTTCAGTTTACTTATTTTATATACTGATAAATTTAATATTTATGGCAGTAGAGAAAAATAATTTTACATTTTTATTTTTTTTTACAAGTGTTTTGAACAATTCTCATCAATCTGCATTAAAAATCAGGCAATATATATACTGTCAGTGGTATTTAGTTTGGTTTGGTTTATTTAGTTTAACGGCATACCAACCTGAAAGGGTTATTTAATGCCAACAAGATTTTTCAGACATGTTCATATGAATAGAGAATGTATTCTTTGTAAAGGAATCATTTTGTAGGTCAGGTTTCACTGACATATTTTGTAAAAGAGTCAAATGCATTGCTGGTAATAATTTTTTCCTTCAAAAATTGGTTGAAAAACAATGTAGGTAAGCAGATTTGGTAAAGAGTTTATATTTTTTTTTTTTTTCCTTGAAGAGCCCAATTTTTTTTAATGAAATTTATGTTACTTGAATTGGTATTTTCAAATAGATCCCTTAAGTTATTTGATTTTGTCGGATTAGAGTTTGTCAGGTTTGTTGGAAGTTACAGCAATTTAGTAGAACGTGTTTAATGGTATATGATTCCTGGCATGGGACACATTGGTTGTTCCTCATTTTTAGTAGATGTTGGTGGGTTATATGTATGTGCGTCCTATACAGAGCCTGGCTAGAATCACCTCCTCTCTCCTTATCTTTCTGTAACTTGACTGTCTTTCACTGATGATTGGTTGGATGTTGAGTAGTTTGTTTACACAGTTGTTCCATAATTGCTGCTATTTTTCTATAGTGACCCTGTTTATGGTGTGTTGGAAGTCGGTGTGTGGCACTGTTACATTTGAGAGGGCCATGTTCAGCAATTCCTTTGTCATTTTGTTAGCTTTTTCATTTCCTTTTATGGCAATATGGCTCGGTATCCAGCATAGGACTATTACAGCATATTTTCCTTATAAATATAGCCAATCCTATTTAATAATTTATTTATTAAAGTGATTTCCAATGTTTTTATTCTTCAGAGCTGTGAGTACACATGATGAATCTATCTGACCCACTGGATTCTATAATATTTAAAGCCAGGTGTATGGCTGAGGCTTCTGCACTGAAGATCAAGGCTTTGTCAGACAATCAATTCTGTATTGTTATGTTGTTAAGTATAGCAAAGCATCCAACTCTGTCCAAGATTTTAGAGTCATCAGTATATATGTTTATAATTTGGATGAGCTTGTAGAACATTATGGATTTCTTCCATGTAATCAGATAAGTTAGAATTAATTTTAGGGTATTTAGTAAGGTTTAGCAGAATCATAGGGTATTTTATTAACTAGAATAGTTTTTTTTTGAGTTGCCATTTTAAGGATTAGTGTTGGATTTATTTGTGTTTCGCTGATGAGATTTTTTTTGTGCAAGGCATTTTCTTTTTTATCAAATAGATTTTGAGAATTTTAGGTGTTAAAATTCACATCATTTGTCTTTTTACTTTTAGGTTTGGTGATCAAAAATGAATAATTCTACATTGTGTGTAAAGATATTTTCTTAAAGTTGTAGTTGAGTAAATGGGTACAAGTGATTTTATTTCATCAATAAATAGGAGATAAGTATTTGCACCAACCAATCAGCTTGAAATCTTATGGAAAATATTCAGGTAAATAGATAATTATATAATCTTTTACAGAATAGAGAAATAGAATGGTTTCTATTATTATTTAATAAGCTCATGATGATTAACCTTGTACCATGCTAAGCTGAGTAAATATGTTTGTAATGATACAATTCATTTTTATGCATTTTATATTTTATCAGAAATGTTTATCAGAATTACATATTATGGCTTGTACATGACTTCATTCTCCCTAAAAACTTTTTTCCTTTCCTGAATGATTCCACCATGTCATATTTATACAAAATTAACTTTGAATTAGAATAAATGTTCAGTCCTTGATAACAGGGCAATTTCACTGAATTCACACATATATCAAGTGTTCAAATCATGGTTCAAATCTAACCATGGTCAATTTACTTGTTTATGTAAATTGCCCATGGTTAGATTTGAACCCAGATTTCATGGTAATAAAATCATGAACTCTCTTGTTACCTTTGTATCATTTTGACAAATAATTCACTTGATTTGCTTGTATATGAAAACAAAAAAATTAATTTCTTATTGAAGAAAAATATTTTATTTTATCATATGCAACCAAAACTATTTCTGTCCATTATTAAACAGTACTGAAGAGCTGTTTTATAAACACCAATACAGGAAGATAATGACATTGTTATTTGTTATAATCGAACAATGCTCATTGTTGATTGTATAAGACAATTCATATCATCTTTTACAGAACAGAGAAAATCTCCAGATTTAATTTTATATTTTTGTCAAAAAAAAAAAAAAAAAAAAAAAAAAAAAAAAAAAAAAAAAAGTTTTTTGCAGTGCTGGTGGGGGTATAAAAAATTGAAAAATTTGTATAAAATATTTAAAAATAGATGCAATATACAATTCCTGTTATTTGGCAGAAATATTTCTGTTTTCAAGTAAATAGAGCCACTTGATTTGGTGGCCAGTTTTTGGTTAAGTCCATTCAGTTTACTTGCAATCAATAGAAAAAGATCAGGCTAACCTTTCAACATTTTTTCCTGTATAATTGGCACAGATCCATTGAAAATATAAAAATCACTGACAGACCAATTCCTTATAAAGCAGTAAGGCAAATTCCTAGTGTATATTTACTTTGTATTGGCAATGTTGTTGAGAAAAGTAAAAAAAAAAAAAGAAAAAAAAAGTGGGCAACAATATTATTTTCCATTCTAAATATGCATGATTTTTAAATAATTTTCTTTAATCCATGATGAAACATTACCATGTTTTAATATTTACAGCCAGAATTATCTTCATTTCAGTTGCTATTATCACAATGTTTTAGCCATTGTGCCCTCTGGGTATCCTTTTAAGATATTTTGAACTGTCTCCCTTAATTTATGAGAATAGATTGTTCTTGTTCTGCTGTCCATATTTACGGATATCTTACTGTTTCCACAGAGTCTAAATTTGTACTATCTGGTCCAGGGATTGAAACCCATTACTATACCACCAAATACACAAACAAACAAACACTAATCTTTGAGACTATTATCCTATGGAGCAATCCTGAAGCTATTGTGAGTTCAATCCTTATACTGGGTAGTACAAACTCAGTGGAAATAGGGTGAGTAAGGACTGACTGAGTATTAAACAAATGCACAAAAATAATAATAATAATGAAGAAACAAAAATAAAAGGATATCCAAAGATAAAGAAGGAAAACAATCTATCTCCATAGATTAAATAAAAGGTTCAATTTGAAATTCCCTGATCAAAAGATATCTGAAGAAGGCTAGATAGCACAACAGCTGAAACATAGTGAGTGATAATAATAAAGATGTGGACATTGGTCCAATTATAATTAATGTAAATAATGATAACTCTACATCCCATAAATTCAAACAGAAAATACCATGCTCTATGTTCTCATTTTTTTATAACAGTCTTAGATACTATTTTGGAGACAGACAGGGCTTAAGATTAATGTTGTTCTGGTGATAATAGAACATTAGTTCAGTACATCTGGTAAGTTTTTTGTGAACAATACAACATTTTTAATTAAAATTCTATTATCTTCTTATATTTGTTCTAAAAGCAAGTAATTTCTGAAAATAAAAACATTCTTTTCACCAGTAGAGGTGAGCTTTTAATAAATGAAGCATTCTCACACACACAAAATTTAAGTGCTTCTTTTTAAATAGGTGAATGAAACAAATGAAAAATAAAGGAACCATTAACAAAGAATATTGGTGTTATATTTTCTGCTTATAATAAACTAAACTGAAATATTCAACTGCCTCCTGCAAATCTCCATTCTTGTCCTTCCTGCTCAGCAATATGACAATATGACCCAGGGAAAGCAGTTATCAAGTGGTGGAGTAGTGGTTGCAGGAGATGGAGACAACAATTTAAAGATTGAAAGGATCAAAATAAATATTTATTGCCTAAACTTTTAATGTCTTGTTTTTTTTTGTTTTTTTTTTAATTATGTTATGTTTCTAACAACTATGCCACAAGTTAAAAGTTTGTAATTTGAAATAGTTAAAAAATTTTTTGGAATGATTAATGGTGTTTTTGGGGATGGTTTCAAGATGATGTTTAAAAAAAGTTAGTTTGGAGTTCTGGACTAATGTCTTTGTCTTTCTTTTTAACACTGCTTAACCAATACATTTTATGCCTTCCTTGGGTATATGTTGTATCTGCTCTTTAGAATTCAATAAATACTTATTCTTAATCTCTTTAAAAAAATTGACAATGAGGGAATGGAGTAATAAGATGTTGTTTTAATAGCATCAATGTATG